TAAGTTTACCAGACAGAGTTGGTATTACAGAGAAACAAACGTATACCAAACGGGTAGAGCTAGTATTGAAGCAGAGAAAGGTTAGTAAATCCGACAGAGCAAGTGTGAAAGGCAGGAAAGGTTAGTATAACAGACAGACTTGGTAGTGAAAAGAAACATACGTATACCAAACGGGTAGAGCTAGTGTGGAATGCAGGGAAATGTAAGTATATCGTACAGAGCTGGTAGTGAAGGGTAACATACGTATACCGAACGGGAAGAGCTAGTGTGGAAGGCAGGGAAATGCTAGTATACCATACAAAGCTGGTAGTGAAAAGTAACATACGTATACCAAACGGGTAGAGCTAGTGTGGAAGGCAGGGAAATGTAAGCATAACCTACAGAGCTGGTAGTAAAGTACACCATTACGTATACCGAACGTGTAAGCTAGAGTGGAAGCCAGGGAAAGGTACAGTTTAAGTACATGTATAACCAACAGAGTTGGTAGTGAAAAGTAACATACGTATAAAACCGAACGGGTAGAGCTGGTGTGGAAGGCAGGGAAATGTAAGTATAACCTACAGAGTTGATAGTGAAGAGTAACATACGTATACCAAACGGGTAGAGCTGGTGTGGAAGGCAGGGGAATGTTAATATACCCTACAGAGTTGGTAGTGAAAAGTAACATACGTATAAAACCGAACGGGTAGAGCTGGTGTGGAAGGCAGGGAAATGTAAGTATACCATACAAAGCTGGTCGTGAAAAGTAACATACGTATACCAAACGGGTAGAGCTAGTGTGGAAGGCAGGGGAATGTTAATATACCATACAGAGTTGGTAGTGAAAAGTAACATACGTATACCGAACGGGTAGAGCTGGTGTGGAAGGCAGTAAAAGGTAGGTATACCCTACAGAGCTGGTAGTGAGGGATAACATACGTATACCAAACGGGTAGAGCTGGTGTGGAAGGCAGGGAAATGTAAGTATACCATACAGAGTTGATAGTGAAGAGTAACATACGTATACCGAACGGGTAGAGCTTGTGTGGAAGGCAGGGAATTGTAAGTATACCATACAGAGTTGATAGTGAAGAGTAACATACGTATACCGAACGGGTAGAGCTTGTGTGGAAGGCAGGGAATTGTAAGTATACCATACAGAGTTGATAGTGAAGAGTAACATACGTATACCGAACGGGTAGAGCTAGTGTGAAAGGCAGGGAATTGTAAGTAAACCATACAGAGTTGATAGTGAAGAGTAACATACGTATACCAAACGGGTAGAGCTAGTGTGAAAGGCAGGGAATTGTAAGTATACCCTACAGAGTTGGTAGTGAAGAGTAACATACGTATACCGAACGTGTAAGCTAGAGTTGAAGGCAGTAAAAGGTAGGTATACCATACAGAGCTGGTAGTGAAGAGTAACATACGTATACCGAACGGGTAGAGCTTGTGTGGAAGGCAGGGAATTGTAAGTATACCATACAGAGTTGATAGTGAAGAGTAACATCCGTATACCGAACGGGTAGAGCTAGTGTGAAAGGCAGGGAATTGTAAGTATACCATAAAGAGCTGGTAGTGAGGAGTAACATACGTATACCAAACGGGTAGAGCTAGTGTGAAAGGCAGGGAATTGTAAGTATACCCTACAGAGTTGGTAGTGAAGAGTAACATACGTATACCGAACGTGTAAGCTAGAGTGGAAGGCAGTAAAAGGTAGGTATACCATACAGAGCTGGTAGTGAAGAGTAACATACGTATACCAAACGGGTAAAGCTGGTGTGGAAGGCAGGGAATTGTAAGTAAACCATACAGAGTTGATAGTGAAGAGTAAAATACGTATACCGAACGGGTAGAGCTTGTGTGGAAGGCAGGGAATTGTAAGTAAACCATACAGCGTTGATAGTGAAGAGAAACATACGTATACCGAACGGGCAGACCTGGTGTGGAAGGCAGGGAATTGTAAGTAAACCGTACAGAGTTGATAGTGAAGAGCACCATACGTATACCCAACGGGTAGAGCTTGTGTGGAAGGCACGGAATTGTAAGTATACCCTACAGAGTTGGTAGTGAAGAGTAACATACGTTTACCAAACGGGTAAAGCTGGTGTGGAAGGAAGGGAATTGTAAGTAAACCATACAGAGGTGATAGTGAAGAGTAACATACGTTTACCAAACGGGTAAAGCTGGGGTGGAAGGCAGGGAAATGTAAGTATAACATACAGAGCTGATAGTGAAGAGAAACATACGTATACCGAACGTGTAAGCTATAGTGGAAGGCAGTAAAAGGTAGGCATACCATACAGAGCTGGTAGTGAAGGTAAACATTTGAATTAGACTAGGAAGTATGTGCAATCTGAAGAATTGACAACTGAAGTATAACGCTCACACGTCGGTACAGTATGATCGTCCTACTTGTCCACGTATAACCGGCTTTTATGTAATGAACAGGAATATCCAGCTAACTGGAATATATGACTGGGCATAGTAGCACAAAAGATTATTCATAGACATTCATTCAAGTTAAGCCCATGATAGCAGGGGAGCATGTACTTACAATAACACGAACACGTATACGGATATGAATAGATTTGCAACAGAAAGGAGCATACATGACGGGTGCCTTTGGAGATACCGCCTGAAACAGAAAGTAGCTAGAAAAGAATTCCAAGTGCTAATACATACGGGGGACGGATGGCGGTGGCGTAGAGGACTCACCCGCAGACAATGAATAGTGAACTTTCCAGTAATTTGATACCTCTTATTATATTCCGTTTAACAGTCTAAATACACATGTATAAAACAGTTTTTACATACCTGGAAGTGATGGACTGGGAAAACACACTGATATCTGATTGCAATGTCTAACATGTACACATTTCTTTGCAAGATAAGTGCACTTCCGGACGTTTCGTTGACAGGCTATCACGTTGAAGATTAAGTTCTTTCTGACACAATATTCAGAACAGACAATCAGACGTTCAGACGGGGTGATTCCAATATACCCAACCCCCCAAAAAAGAAAAAAACCGTTTCGGAGTTATAGCCTATATCTTTCTGTAAGCCTCTACTGTAATAGTGTGTGCAGGTAAGTATGGCGTTATAAGATGCTTAGTCTTCAGACACAACTGCATAAATGCACCTACTACATAAATATACCTATCCTTACTGACCTTAGGAGGCGCTGTAGTCAAGGAGTAGGACGCCAGGCTCGTTACCAAAGGGTTGCGGGTTAGAGTCATGGCACGGCAATGTGTTGTATCTTTGAGCAGGGAACTTTGCTCAGCTTGTTTCCAGGCTACTCAGCTGTAGTACGCGAGTACGTGGTTAGGCAGTGTTAGAATTGTAGCTATGAGCGTTGAAATTGAAGCACCGGCTGTATGCTCCCCAGGGAGTTGAGAAAGATATTGGCTGGCGCTATAACCAGGGATAATAATTTGTCCCCCGCTTTGAGACGACCTACTAGGTTGTGATAAAGCGGTATATAAGACCCTCTTATTATTACTATCATGCGGATCGTTGAGAGCGATTGGGACAACTGATCGAAGAAATACAGGCTTGTGTTTTGCTTTCATTTTATATTTAAAAACATCGTACAATCTTATTTTGACTGATATGTACCAGTTTAAACTTACTTATACAGAAAGGCCAGGACTGTTAAATTAAATCTTTAAAGTAATTGAATGTGTTAAATATGCTTTTCACTCATAAAGAAATTAGAGTTTCTCCGAAAGTATTTTGTATTTCCTTTTGTTTTGGTTTCCTCTAGTTACCGGAAATATTTGTTTGTATTGGGCTTGATCTTATATTACAGGTATGTAGAAAATGTATAATTATTCACAATTGTAATTAACGAATAGTCTACTCATAATATGATTCATTTACTTTCAATAGAAAAAAATGGAAAACGCGAAAATTAAACAGGTTTGCATTGTAATATTTATCAATATCAGCTATTGTTTTAACAAGTTATTTAATCTGTGAGTTATATGATTATATTGTTTTAAATATTGCATAACAGTTTTAAACTACGTTTTTTTTGATGAACAGGCGTACAATGCTGATGCTGCCAGAGCAGTGGAACTTGTCTTACATTAAGGAGAATACATTACTCGGTCATTATTGAAGGGAGAAAGGAAACGGATACATCGTTTTGTTCATTGTCATTTTTCAGACATTTAAAAGGTTTTAATTAAATTTTGGGAAAAAAGAAAGTGATGTATTTATGGAAGCAGTGCACAGTAGCGTAAGATGCCCATGGGTGATATTTTGATATAACATGTATCAACATTTATAAAAAAAAAATAAAAAAAAACAGCACTTAAATTGGCATATACATGATGAAGTGGACTATGTGGGCTTCATAATTTAAATTTTGGGTTAAAAATCATGTTGTTTTGCATATTTTGGTGTTTTTCGATGTGGTAACCATGGTTTTCACAAGTCCCAAATCTGGGGAAAACAGGTTTTGAAAAAAAACAGTCTTCTAAACAAAATGAAATCAAAATGAAGTTAATAAATATATATATATATGTAGGTTGAATTCACTATCCATGTTTATCTGAGACATGCCCTTTATTTTTAGGGTCAAGCCATTTCTACTGTACACTGCTACCTTTGTACATACGTTTTACTTTTTAATAGAAAAAAAGGTAAAGACTTGCCATAAAATATGCTGATTACATTTGATTCAAACGAAAATTACTTTCCATGGTTTCAAATCCGCTTTTCTTAATTAGGAGCTCGAAAAAAGGAACTTAGAGCTGAAATATATCTTTTCATTCACAGGTATCTACACTGACTTTGAGAAGTCCCATGAGCAACAACCCATCCGCTTTGGAAATAAACATCAAACGGAAAAAAGATCCTCAAACAGATTTCCTATTTTTGCAACTATCAAATAATTTGAGTCATGCGATATTTCAATCCTTCTTTCGTGTGTCACAATGTTGCTCTTTTACGCGTCCTGATGACGTATTGAGGAGACCCTTAGCAACCGTTACCGTGTACGTTGTAAAAACCTTGGGTACTGATACAGGTGTCTCGTACCACATCCTGATGGGAGGCAAGGCATCAGTTAACCTTACAGGCGGTACATATATTTATTGCTAGGGTTACTGTTGATGGTATAGAGCAGAACGTGTCTCATCTAAAATTTTACCCTTCTTTTCTTAAGTTTTTGACAGTTTATCCACTAAAGAAGGAAGAAAAGGCACTAGTTTATCAAAGAAATGTCCATTCTTAAGTCGGAAAATGACCACCGTATTTACGTAGGGACAAACCAATTCACGAAGATGTGTAACTTTATTATAATTTATATTGTAATGTAAATAGCCTGACCGTGCAAGTCATCTCTTACCCTAATATATCAAATTAGAACTATATCGAAAGAAAGAATAATGTTTTGAAAATTGTCACTGGTCATTTGGCTTTTTCTACCACAATACGCTGTGTTATTCCACTCTCAGATCGAATTGTATACACATGCAGACTTTAAGATAAGTATGAGTTATAAGTTATTTACCACACGTGGAACATACATATGGTCGTGAAGCACACGTGGTACATGCATATGGTCTTCAAGTGTTTAAATTTGCCGAGAAGATGAAATTCGACCGGGACTACTTTTTCACGCACTTTGTACAACGTGTTGTTTTGTTTGCATCGTCTGCTGTCAACATGGCTACTTTGCATGAAGACGAATTACCGGCAAATGTTAGTAACTTTGTGAGGCTATGCAATGGAAAAAGGGGGTGATTAAGGCAATAACAAAAGATGATAATACTCAAAGTTTTGATCGCCTTCATATTGAATTAGTTTCAGGCAAAATAATACAGAGGCTCGATATCGTTTCAACGTCTTACCTTCGTGAAACCAAAACAAGATATATCGCTGTCAGAAAATGTTTCGTTCTCCCCACGGCCCGTTATCACTATCTGGTTGACCTGTCTATGACGGAACATTCACTGTATTCGTCAACCATGAAATCGTCCCGAAGAAACGTCCCACGTTTATGGTTTTAGACAATGACAGCGATTAGGTCTATTTATCACTTAGCGGGAGGCAGACTGCAATGCAGCATATTTGAAGACGTTTATCAACTTTATTTTGTCATAAAGGATTTTGTCGAACAATTGACTTTGAAAATTATAAAATTTGTAAAATGAAGTCATTTTTGAATATCAATAATTGACATTTTACATATGGGTCATTTCAAGCAGGTCACAGTCCAGCTGTTTCCGACTGAGACCGTGGTAAAAAACAGGTCACACTCCAGCTGTTTCCGACTGATATTGTGGTAGAAACAGGTCACACGACTCGTATGGTATTTATTTCACTCTCGTTAGTTAATTTTCAAAAGTAACTGTTGAAAATTCACTAGCTCGATTAAAATAATTACCACATCCAACAACCACTCGTTAAGTAGCCTCTATCTACTATATATATATTACCAATATTGGCTAACCTTGTTCTAAAACCTGTACGTGTAATGAACCAAGTGGTTTACAATCAAACTCTTCCGTCAGTCTAAGGTTAAATTTCTACGACAGTATACGTTTCTGATGAATTCGTAGTTTCTATTTTGTTTGACAGAATTATTACAACCGTCAGAACCATATCCCAAATCTTATTATACATGTATCTCAAAAAAATGAAATATTAAATATAATATCGTATGCATTAAGCACTACAAACTACCTTTTTATTTTCAATCATTAAACAGGTGCAACAACCAACCACGTTTTGGTCAATATACAACCGCTTACAACATACCTAGATCTACTGGCAGGTGCGACAAATAAGGTATAACACGCCATTTACAAATCATCCTGATTTTCCTGAAAAATATGTCTCGCTTGTAATTGATGTCTTTCCAAAATAATAACATAACCAATATAAAATACAGCTGAAGATCTAACCTGGGATAATGTATTGGATATCTGCATCAATTCTTACTCTGCGGTTAGTATTCGATTTTATTTACATGCAATACATACGTACATGTAGCTCAATGTGAAAAAGAGGTCAACATATATCAATGATTGTAAAGGAGAATGTTGGTTATGTGAAGACCATTTTGCATATTTATGAGTAATATTTTGAGATGCTAAAACTAATTTAACCAGTCTACATATTAACTCGCTTCTGCAGATACCTTATCCTGTGGACGTGGTTGGGGTCGGCCCGTATAGGTACATGTTGACAGACTTGAATCAAGGCGGCGAACACACGGACGGCGTCATCATCTTCCTGCACCAGATCCACCCTCCGGCCGCGTGTATCATGTTCAAACATGGTTCAAAAGCAACGTATGAGATCCCCTTCGACCTGAAACCCGCCACAGAGTTAACTTCAACGTTTCAGAATCCACACAAGCCACGCCATGGATGACGTATATATTGAAAATTCACACTCAAACGTAACAACGTTTACTACATGTAGGTGTATCCAGCTTATCAAATGGTAATTATAGTCAAGTTGTACTTTTACATTTATTCCATACAACAGAGTCAATCTAATTTAGTTGAATAAATAAGTGTTAGTTGTGTTTTCGGTGAATATCAATGTTTTTTAACCAGTTGTATATTTGATATACATGTATTATAAAAAGGTAAGGTATTACCTGCTAGAAATGTATCAGATGAAAATAAATTACACCTGTATGCTTTAACGGTTACTTAATCACCAGGACAGAACAGTAAGGGAACGCTTTGTCAATGATAAACGGCATTCCGAAAAATAGCAACTGTCGGATTATTTTCTTCTCGCTCACAATATGTTGTGATTCGTTAATTGGTCTTTCACCAATTATTTTCCTATAGTGAGTAATGTTAGTTGAAACACCTGGAAGTAATTCAATATGTCAGTTTTTATATATTATACAATGTACTGGCTTTTAAACTTCTTAATGGATCATATTTCCTACAACTATATTTGCGTTATATCTCGGCCCTTCTAATGATTCTAATAGTCGTCTAGATAAAATCTCCGTGTGTCATGTTAATATGTGTTCATTGAGGAACAAAACTCATATTCTTGATGCGGAACTTCCTGATTTTGATCTTAGAAGTACAATAACACTGGAGAAACTCATGTTACACCAATATATAAGGGCGAGGGTGGTACAAAATATAGAAGTGACCCATCTAACTACAGACACATATCAGTTACTATTTTTTGCAATTTTTTTTGAAAAAAATGTTTTTAAAATACACGATAAATCTCCCGAGAGATAACATTCTCTTCAAAATTCAGTCAGGATTTTAACATAGTGATTTAAGTGAAGGGAAAAAGAAACAGGCCAGTGGTTTGCTGTAACTTTAAAACAAGTGTTGTGAATATTTTTTTTAAAATATCTTTCATAAACAAATTACCAAACATTCATTAGCTGTTTAGTTGTTTAGGAATTCATAGTTCATAGTAAGGTACTCCCAACATTAGTATATGGTATCTTACATTCGTAAAATTGCCATGTAATACAATCGAATGTGGTTTTACACCATAAGTTTGGTTTGGTTAAGTTGTATTTTGTTTAACGTCCTTTTTACAGTTAAGGTTATTTAAGGACGTGCCTCCATGTTTTGTGTAACCGTGTCAATGCTTACAACCTTGTGATAGCATGGATCTGATGCCAACCTTATAGTGTTATCGCACTGAAATATCATGCCAAGGGACCTAGCACAGCATTCCACCCGGTCACATTATACTGACAACGGATGAAGCATTACCATAACCCTTAATGCTGAAAGTTAAGCAAGGAATAACCATTTCTATGGACTTTGGTATGTCCCGGCATGAGGACAGAACCCATGGCCTTCCTCACCTAGGCGAACGTTCGACATGATGAGGTGTTGCCAAGCAAGGCGCTACGAAACATGGCAAAGTATTGCAAGGCAATCCCTAGTCCCCCCACCGGTCATTATTTCTATATTTAACAAACAGTGCACTTGTCAGGATGTACCTACTGTTAGGAAAGTATCCTGATACATACTACTTGCACTCCGACATAAGTGAAATATTATAGAAGATATGCCCAGGACTTTTATTTTTCAAAAGTAAAGGTCTTTTCTTACGTTTCTTTTTCCTTCAGTAAATTTGAAGAATAGTTAGGCAGTGAAGTTAGGATGGACTTTAAGCGATATCAGTAAGGCATTTGATAGGGTTTTACACGATCGTCTGATTTATAAGTTAAAAATATATTGAGTAAGTGATAACATGCTGCAATGGATTTATTCTTACCTGACTGATAGGTGACAGAGAGTGGTCATGAGCGATACAAATCTAATGTCAAAGTGCTCTCAGATAACACCTCATTATGTAGTCTTACTTTAGAAAACGGGCAATTTTAATGATGTTTTGAGAAGAATTTCTATATGAGCAAATTAATGGTGAGTAATTTTAACCCGACCTAAACAGAGACTCATTTTCTCAAGACGCATTGGCTCCGAGACGCTGCATCCAAGCATGTTCTTCAATAACTTATTTTAGATGTACCACTCATGTGTACGATTCAATACAGACATATTCTTATCATCACACCGAAAATTATCGGTTTCGTCAAAATTGACTCTTCGATGTGCCATTTGCACAAACCAACTTTATAATGCTAGTTTTAATGCTATTTTTCCCCAAAATAACTGTTTGAATGGAACAATCCAGATTGTCTATTTCCAAAAATGTCATCAACTGGAACACAAAAAGAACTTTTTTATACTCACCTGATACAGATGCTTAATCCGAATGTACTATTGTTTTTAAATATTATGGTGTCAGGGAAGTTAATATTTCCCTATGTCAATTAAGACATCATGCTAATGATCTGAGCTCGGATTTACTTAATTCCCGCTTAAACGATAACCCTGCCTGAATGTGTGGTTATCCCACTGAAGACTGTAATCACTTCCTCCATTGTCTTCTCTATATAAACCAAACACTATCCTTAATTTACTCCATATCTGATCTGACTGATAATAGTTTAATGAATATTCTAATTTCTTTTTAAAGCTGTCAATTACTTGATTAGTTTGAATATATCTACTTATTTGGGGACGATTCAGGTATTCATTTTGGATACTAGACGTTTATTTGTTTTTCGATGTTCTCGTTTTATAATATGTGTTACTATTGTTGCGGGACCCTTGTGCACTTGTTCTTCAGGATATGGGATACAACACGACATTGTGAATTGAGATGTAGCATAAAATCCAACAATAACCTTATAGTTATTTACAATAACCCCCCAATCTGTATTTGCAATAATTCTCCTGCAATCACAAATATTATCAAGCAGTAGTATAGGCGGTTTGCCAATTGGGGCGGTTCTTTTGGGACGGTTTGTACTAAGTGACCTCTTACCTGATGACGTCATAATACCTTTGATTTATACATTCAGATGACGTCACGAGGGTTGTTTGGAGGGATTGTCTGGACTGCGGGAGCAGTTACACAATACGTGTCAGGGTTTGGACTGCGGGAGTAGTAACAGCTGGACTTGTCTTTTATTTCATTACTGTTTTAAAGCTAGAGAATAGCTAAAAATTGTTAACTTCAGACGGCAGCGAATACATATTATCCTCTCTCAACACCATCAAGACAAGTCCAGCTGTTACTACTCCTGCAGTCCAAACCCTGACACGTAGTGTGTTACTGCTCCCGCAGTCCAGACAACCCTCGTGACGTCATCTGAAAGTATAAATCAAAGGCATTATGACGTCATCAGGTAAAATATCACTCAGAACAAACCGCCCCCAAAGAACCGCCCAAAAGGGCAAAACCGCCCCCAAAGAACCGCCTATACTACTTCAAGCATATTATGCTTGTTTTTACTGTTAACGCTTGTTACCTAAATGACAAAGGTGCAAAGCCGTTGTCTATATATAGCTTCATCGATATCTCCCTTAAAGTATACGTGTTTGAGTCAACTAGTTGGGGACGAAACATGAGAAGCCTAACAACCAAACCGTAAACATACACATTAAGTTAACGTTAAGAGTGGCTGACAGGATACACACGTACTCGGACATGTCGCTTACACCTACATCGGCAAAATTTATATTTAGCAGGAGGTGAGTGCTAACTGACCGTGTTAATTGACAATTAACGTACACTAGATCAGTATAGCATTACTATATCATTATAATCACATACGGTGTTTAAAAGCAGTAAACATCGGTCGCATTAGTATTGTTGTTATACATTATTTTAACTCTTTTATTCACAATGATGTTGTGAATTTCATACCAACAATTTATTTATAATTTTCAACTCAATAAATGCTACCTGACATTTGATAAATAAAGGATAAGTTAGTTTAAACTTCATGTGTATTTCTTGTAGAACATATGGTGTCATTGTATGCTGTCAGTGTCAAATGAGTGTAGAGGGAGTCACCGGACCGGTTTACCTGTGCATGTCCAGGTACTTCATGTTACGTAGACACAGTTACAAATGTAAAGTAAATATGTACTGGGCTATTGTAATAGAGCTGATTAGGAATGCTGATGTTTTATAATTTTTATTTTTTGGTTGTTGACAAGAGCTACAATAGACCATTAGACAATACATGTATCTCCCAACGTCGAGTAATGGGGGTATTTTAATCAACAAAATGACTTTTGATAAAGGACGCTCAGGTGTTATTACAAAGAAACGAGGTTACACGAGCGATAAACGCTTTATGACGGGTTGATGATAGTTTTTGATAAAGATAGTCTCATTGTTACGTAATCAGAAAACACTTATAGACAGCTGTTCTGTGATCATTTACATGTGGGAAGACGTTTAAAACAGTCTTCATTCAAAAGCATTGTTGTGGAGTGTAACGTATTTCAATAGAGTACGGAGCAGCGGATGTTATCGTGCTTCAATGCTAAATATTTCCTTTCATTGCAAACAGACGCAAATGGATTTGGCATCAAGCAAAGCCTATGTAAGCCATCTCCAAACAATTCTGGTATGGTACAGTTATTTAACGAAAGATATAAACAATAAATATAGTGTATCTCCCCGACCCATCTAACAAAGTATAAGTACTTTAATCAAATCTGCCAGTTTCAGGAATGTATTCTGATATTCATTGTAATAAATATGGATTTATTTCTTCATCACAATCCTGACAACCGTGTAATAAGGTTCTAGTATCAAAATGATCATGGGAAATAATAGGGTGAATACGTTTTGATCTTGTTACATTTAACATTGCACATATAAGGAAGTGGTGTTGTAAATGATTAAGAAATAGGTATTGATAGTTTGACAACCATCGTTTACAAAGGTATTTGTTGTATCAAATTCTATTTTATTCTTATTAAAAAGGAGGTTTTGATAAGTCAAAATTTAGAGCAAAATAATTTAATTCCCTAAATGTATTAGGAAAATAGCTGCTATAATAG